CCCCCAGGGGGCCCCCAGAAAGGGGAGGAAAACGCGTTGCTAGTTGAATAGAGAAAGTAGCAGCAGCAGCAGCTCTGCTGCAGCAGCAGCAGCAACAGCTGCTGCTGCTCTTGCTGCTGCAGCAGCTGCTGCTGCTGCTGCAGTGGCAGGAATTGCAAGAAGTTGCTACTCACACGCTAGGGTTTAGGGTCTAGGGGTTGTGTCGTTGTCAGTGACGCGCACCTTTCCCAAGCGCTGCTGCTGCTGCCCTCAGCAGCAGCAGCAGCAGCAGCAAAAGCAGCAATAGACGAAACAAAAGTGGATTTGTTTAAAGAAGAGTTTGAAGGGCTAGGCCCGCAGGGAGAGTTTAGACAAGCAGGTTAGCGCAGAAAAGACAAGATGGAAAAAAGAGCGGAAACAAACGAAATAAAGTGGAACAAATGAATAAAATGAACAAACAAGTAAAATAAATGAATAAAATAAACAATTAAATGAAATAAATAAATGAAATAAATAAATAAATGAACCAAATGAGTCCACCGCGAGCGCGCGGCGCCGCGGGTGCGCGGCGAGCTGCCTATACACCCGAGCGGCGGCGGCGCGGGATTTCGGAAAACGGCGGGAAGCTCGAAAGAAAGCGAAAAAGGGAAATAAAAGTGGAAAAAAGTGAAAGAAAATGAAATAAAATGAAAATAAATGACTTCTGGGGGTCAGTTTGAGGCCTCGAGAGGCAAATAGTTCGAAAAATCTCCAAAAACTGTCCGCTCCACCGCGCGAGCCGCCTCCCGCCGCACCGGCGACAGGAAACCCTCAGGTGTATGTACACCTGGGAACTGCCCCATCGCGTTTTCGCTGCTGAAGTATAATTCCTTTGCATGCGCCACAAGTTCTGCCATTTGCTGCCGCAGCTGCTGCTCCTCCTCCTCGAGTTCCGTGCTGCTGCTGCTGCTCGTGCTGCTGCTGCTGCTCGTGCTGCTGCTGCTGCTCCTGCTGCTGCTGCTGCTGGTATTGCTGCTGCTGCTGCTGCTTCTGCTGCTGCTGCTGTTTTTCTGGGCCAGCAGCAGGTCGAGGGCCTCGCGCGTCTCCACCATGCGCTCGTAAGTGTCCAGCAGCTCGCGCTCGGTCCGCAGCGACTGCTGCAGCGTTTGCTGCAGCTGCTTTGCTGCATCGGGCCCCCCCAGCTGCTGCAGCAGCGGCAGCAAACCCTCGACAAGTGCTTGCTGCAGCGTAAACCTCTCTTGCGAGGGCTTCAGCCAGGGCCCCAGGGCCTCCGCGAGGAAGTTCACGGCCCCCAGGGCCATGGAGGCCCCCTGGCTTTCATTTGCTGCTGCTTCTGCTGCTGCTGCTGTTGCTGCTGCAGCGGGGGGCGCTGCGGGCTCTTCTGCTGCGCGCGCTGCAGCAGCAGCCAGCAGCAGCCACGCCCACACGGCGCGAGGGGCCAGCAGGGCCGCGGGAAGCCGCATTTCGATGCCAAATGGTACTTTTTCCTTTAAATGGATTAATTAAAGTTAATTGTCTAAAGAAATGGACTTTTTCTTCGAACTGAGCGGCCCAGAGAAGAAAGAAGCCAACGCGCGCCCACCCTGCGGCGCCCGGCAGGCGGGGGGGAGTGCTGCTGAGGGGAAAAGGCGCAAAGGGGGCTTCAAATTGCGGAGAAAATGAATTAAATGGAATTAAATTGAAAAAAGAATTTAAATTGCGAGAGAAATGTTCAGAAACGGCGCCAAAGACGCCGCTGCACATGCACAGGGCCTTCGGCTGTCGCGCAGACGATCGATCGCCGAGCTGCAGTGACACCCGAAATAAAATGCCAAAAAACCCAAATTTCAAAATTAAAACGAATTCATTTAATTAATTATTCTCTTTTTCGAACTTGGGACTGCAGCTGCAACACCAGAAGAGGAACAGCAGCAGCCGCAGCAGCAGCAGCTGCAGCGCAGCAGCTGCAGCAGCAGCAAGCTGTGCGTGTTTGGGGGAACTATTTGTACAAACGTTTTTATTTTCTTTTTCTTTTTAATTTATTTCCTTTTTGACTTAATGTGCGAACTGCAGCAGCAGCAGCTTTGCCAGCTCCCACTTGGCTGCAGCGGGAAAGGGTTCATGGGGCTTGCAGCAAATTTAAATGCCTTAATGATTGATTTGAAAGAAATAAAAGGAAAAGAGAAATAGAAACGAACATTTTGGACCTCAAGTTGCTGCTGCTGCTGCTGGGCCCCTCACCGGCGCAGCAGCAGCAGCACCAATCTGCTGCTTGTGTGGAGAACTTACC